AAACAAATTCAAGTTATCAGTATTTTAATATTTTAAGTGTTAATTAGATAATTATGTAACATTAATTAAATGTTAATAGAGAGTAATGAAATTTTTAATAAATATTAACACATTAAATAGTATAATAAATGATATTTTCATCCTAATATTTATTTAAACATTATGTTTACATTGATATACAAAAAATAATTTAATATTACATTTTTGCTAATATCTTGAATAATTTGTTATGAAGCCCCAAATGATACTTGATTTTCTTGGAAGTCGACATATTTATTCTTTCCATATGAATCAGAGGCCCCAAAGATACAAATACTACTTCATTTGGTGATGCACACAACACAATGTATGAAGATTCAAAGTGAATGACTCGATTTTTACTTCCACTGGTTTATTTAAGGCCATTTGCAGGGATCCTGAATGAGCGATGTGTCTCAGTCTTTTGAGTGCAGGAGCTAGTTATCCCGGAGAGCATTTCTCCTTTCCTTGCCCATACCTCAGCTTGCCCCATAGTTCTTTCTGCCAGCCTGAGGGAGAGGATGAAGTTTGCAGCAACTGACCCTGAGCCTCCCCACATACTATTTGAATCCAGCGTGTTGCTGGGAAGCTGAAATTTGGGGCTATGATTTTATAAAAATACAGACATTCCAAATGTTAGAAATTATTAATTCAGAATGAAAGTGAACATAAGTGGAGATGCAAGATTCACATTTGGAATAAATGTTATTGATGTTAAAGATTGTTCAGGGTTTATTAAAGTTGATATATAAGTGGATACTAGGTAGTTAATATGTGAGGTATAGAAAAATAAGCAACATCAAGCTACATATGACATAAGTGGATCCTTAAATCACTGTTCCACATACATAATTAAAATTTTTCTTCCTACTTGGGTAGCATAGGATGAATAGCCAGAATTCTGTACTTAAACCTCACTTTACATAATACTTAATACCAAAAGCTGAGTGCAGGTAATGTGTACTAATTAGGCTTCAAGGTTATCATGCTGAGGAGTTACTTTTTCTTGTCATTTGACCTGGTCCTTTTTTTTTTATTGTCAATGTATGTAGGATATGAGAGTATGAGAATTATCAAATTTAAATTTCATGACCACATGGATTTACATCTAAGTATTTTCTTTGTTTCTTGGTTACACAAAAGAAGGAACTATTCCTCTTCAACTGAACATATTAATAGTTAATTCTGATAGTACATGTGAAAATATCTTAAACTTTGTATTTTGTATTGGTACAAAATAAGAGGCCAGTTTTGCTCAGTTGTTTAAAGCAGACGAAAGTGTCCTAGGTTCAATTCTGGTTAATGACATGTATATACCTCGGCGAGTAAGGGCATATGTGGGAGGCAACCAATCAATGTGTCTTTCTCACCTCAATGTTTCTCTCGCTCTCTCGCTCTCTCGCTCTCTCGCTCTCTCGCTCTCTCGCTCTCTCGCTCTCTCGCTCTCTCGCTCTCTCGCTCTCTCGCTCTCTCGCTCTCTCGCTCTCGCTTTCCCTCCTCTCCCTCCCTCCCACTCTAGAAATCAGTGGAGAAAATATCCTTGGGTGAAGATAAAAAACAACAAACTGAAAGTAAACCTTTCTTCTTTATTTCAGGATAAAAAAATCTTAAAGGAATTTTTCTAAAGCAATCTAAATTGTATTTTAAAAATAGAATATATATCATGATGATAAAAATTGGTAAAATGTATAACAAAAAATAAAGAATAAATAAATATAGTAGTGTAATTTAGGGTGATTTAAATTTCCTTCTTTTTGAACCTAAATTTTCTATATTGCATTATTTTTATATTAAGAAAATAACTTATTTTTAGGTTAATCAGACTTCTGTATCTGCTTAGATTTCTAAACCCCTCTGGCAAAAAATAGCTCTTATAAAATAAAATGAGTATACATCTGCATCGTTTAAAACAGGCACTTTTGTTCAGAGTTCCCTGACCCATACTCTGTTGCTCAGTATTTACCACAGATGGACCACAGTGAGCCCAGACATTTTGGGGGGATGGGATGAACTAGAGAGGCTGGAATTCTGGCTTGTGTGCAGCCTCCTTCCTCAGCAAAAAAAACACACAAAAGAATCTCCCCAAAAGACAATGTTAAGACCCATCGTTCACAGAGCTAAGGTCTGATCTCCTGACTGTGGCTCCTGAATTTCCATTAAGACTGAGAAGCAATAGTTTGTATTAACACACCTTTCCCTATTGCTTTAGATGGTGTTAGCCTATAAAGGATAAAGAGGGTCAAGTACTAGTATATGGTGATGGAAGGAGATATAACTTTGTGTGGTAATCACACAATGCAATTTACAGATGATGTATTACAGAATTGTGCACTTGAAATTTACATAATCTCATTAACCAATATCACCCCAATCAAGTAAATAAAAAATAAAATGTAAAAAATTTGGAATTAGAAATATCAACTCATTACAAACTACCTAGTCATGTATCATCAACTCCATCTCTGCCATGCAAAGCTGTAAAGCAAAGCTCACAGTGTGATTTTTCTCAGGTTGATGTGACAAGTGTAAAAACTAATAACCATGATTTTGCAAATGAAATTTCATTTTTAAAAAGTGATGCATAAATAATGTCTTCTCATTAGCATGCAACTGCAAGAGATTGTTCACTGCAGTATGCCTAGGATTGAGACAAAGGCTTACACATGTTACCCATTAAATAAATATTCCAGAGTAATGGTCTCTGACCTTTTATAGAACTCTTGCATCACATGGTTTAAAACATGGCACCGTTTTTTATATGTAGCCTTATCTCTCAACAGTAGAACCTAGGGAGGGACAAAGTCTATCTTGTACACCATCATATTCCTAGGGCCTGGCAATATTTATGTGCACTAAACAAGTTGAATGAATTAAAGGCCCATATTATAACCTATTCATCTATCATCCTCAATAACTGATCTTACAAGGCATGAGGTTTGATTCCCATTTGGTTAAGAATGTGCTGGAACAATGGAGATAGACTTATTGATGTGTTGAATTCAGAGAATGCCCTGGCCCATGCATGTGGCTTTGGAGAAGGCCTGTTTTGGGGATATTATTGTTCTTAATGAAGACCAGATGACGGCTTTGAAGACTTTTTCCAATGAGGAAAGAATATGGAGAACAAAATTAAAGCTGTACTTTCTACAGTAGCTCACCAACTGGGCTGGACCTATGTAAACATGTCCATCACCTATTATTTCTGTGGAATAATTTCTGAAGATATGTTTAAGTTGTTTTTAAGAGACCAACACCTTACTCAATAAAGAAATTATTTATTTATTTATTTATTTATTTATTTTTAAAGAGAGAATATCCTTATCTCTCTCAGAAGCAAAATATTAGGTTTATGGGGCTGATTCTGGAGAAGGTGAAGTCTGGTGCTCATTGTGTATTAATAATTATTTTTTCCTGTAAAATACTCATGCCCTTAAATTAGTAGGACAGCAGTTGGCCAGATTTGGATAAGATCTCACTAAGCTGAATATCTTTTCTTTAAAACAAATTCAAGTTTAAAGTAATAGACCCTGTTCTCTTTCTCCCATGGTCCACAGAACTCTGCCTCCACTCCCGACAACAGAAACAAAATGAGACAAACTTGACTTCACATTCTTGCTACTATGTCCTTTGCTGGTTGTTTGAGGCAGGTTACTGCATGCCCTAAACCTTAGTTCCTCATTTGTAACATGCAGCAGACAATGTGAGTGCTTACCCTGCAGGGTACAAATGGGGATTGGTTATATAGACATACGTATAATGTGTAATGAGGATTATCTCCGTGGTCTCTAATCCTCATTATGTGTTGCTTAGCACAGAGCTACATTAGGTGCCCTGTATGTGGTCACAGCAATTAATTAATAGTGTTCTAACCATTGATGAGAATATAAAAACAGGAGTTGACTTAACCTTGTGGTTCAGTTTCCTCGTTGTTAAGTGGAGATAAAGAATATTTAATATTACAATTTATCATAAAGCAATACATGAGAAAAATATATAAGTAATCAGCTTATAAATGGCAATTATAATATTGGTTTACTTTCCTACTCCTGTTTTTAAGCTCAGCCTAGTGATATTATACTGAGATAAATTAGTCGGTTTGGTGACTGAAGTTCAAGTAGAATAGTAATTTCTCTTTTCCTCCTGATGTCTGGTCCACCCAAATGCCATCCTTATGCAGGGCTACAACTTCGTCATGTGGAACCCCACATGAGGAACATGTATTGTCTCCTTTATTGCTTCCTATAAATAGGAACCAAGTGGCATTGGCATTATATTAATAAAATTTGGGCCTGGAAACACTTAAATGAGTGTTTTTCAAGGTGGTCAACTATTGTTGCTGTAGATGTCTTTTAAGAAATCAGTAACTACCTTTTAAAGAGATGTTGTATACTTATACATTTCACAGGCACTCAGTAAAATCTTACTGAATTAAATTACAACTAATTCTAAGTGTTATATATTTTAATTAATCAATGTAGTTTTAAAAATTAATTTTATAGGATAACATACTTATTGAATATTAATTCTCATGAGCCAAGCATTATCTGGCAATTTTAAGAATGACACACACTATAGAAAATAACTTGAAAGCTACAATATCTGCCCTTAAAAGTTCTTAAATATTTCAATTGTATATTACTCTAGTGATCTTTCTGAAAATAGGAAAGACACATGATTATTGTCAGATCAATGAGTGAGACAATGGACACAGTGAAACTTATAAGACACCGTTCAGATAGACTTATTGTTGCTGTTGAAAATGATCTATGATTGTGAATAATTGCTTTTGAAATATTGATCAAATTGATCTGTCCAATTTTCTGGCACTGGCTCTGTATGTCATACCTCACCCTAGAATTACATAAATCAACTGAGTCTGGACTTCTGTAAAAACTGGGGCGAGAAAGATAGAAGTAATTTCTGAGTTGTCAGTGACGGATGAATGTTCTGATATCACAGTTTTAGTAAAGAAAAGGTCTTACCGTAGCTGTCATAGGCATCCTCACTTACTCCATGACCGTAGTCATAGTATTCAGGCACACTGCAACAGATTTAGACAGCAATCAATGTTACTGTAATCAGGAGGGATCAACCCAGAAACTCAGATGGGATTTGAAAGCAAAATGTGTGCTAACATAGTATCCCAATAACCTGTAGGCATAAAACAGAATTCTAAAGAAATAGGAAGAAAAATACAGGTTACTGACAAGGAGTGCTATGATTTTCTCATGCCACCTAAGTACTTCTTTCAATTTATAAATCAAATTTCCCCTAAAATACAAGTGTACTCTTCAAAATTGGTCAAGAGTAGAGTTATAAAAGATATAAGAAAAGGTGCTATATAAGGTGACAATCAGGTCAGTAATTATGTATGTCTCTTAATGCTGTTATCCTAAAAAGTTACATCAATTTTATCTTCACGTCCAAACTCTTGAAATTATATGTATGCTCCTCTTTAGCCCTTTCACAGCTTGTTCATGCAGTTCTCAAATATACAAGCCGTTACTTTTTTGCTAGATGCTTCTACATTTCAGTAACTGAGAAAAAAGGAGTTCTTCCTCTGTTTCTTACTGAAGTTACTTAAAGTCTTCCCCCACCACAATTGTCATCACTTCGTCTTACAGCAAGTTTCTCCCCCTAAGGCACCATCCCTATGAGCCTCCAAGCATTTTATGTATCTCCCATCCTCAAAAAAAACCTTCCCTTACCCTGAGATCTCCTTCTAGTGATGAGCTATTTCTCTTTACATAAAAACTGCTTGAAAAGATGAGACTTCATTCACTCTTTTTCACTGCCTCTCCTTTCACATGCTTTTGAAGACATCCCGGTCAGGCTATATTCTCCACTGAAACAGCTCTTGTCAATATCTTGCCATTTTCAAACCCAATGGTCAAGACTTGGTCCTCATTCTGTCTTAGCACAGTTAACACAATTGATCATTTTCTACTTCACACACTTCAGTTGCTACTGAGATGTTCTCTCTTGGATCTCCTTAGCTCAATCCATTTTCTCATTCTTCTCTGCTGGTTCACCTGTTCTCAGCCACTGAATCCTGAAGACTGCTGGAGCTCAGTTACTAGGATTGTTTTGCTATTGATATTCCCTAGGCAATCTTAATTGTTCCTACGGCTTTAAACTAACTCTACTATGATGATTTCCAAATTATATGCCCCTCCCCTCCACTGTGGTCTCATATATCCAGTTGCCTTGTGCATATTTCCATTTGGATGTTAAACTTAACATATCCAAATATAAAAATTTTCCCTGACCAGTTTGGCTCAGCATCATCAAAAGGTGGTAGGTTCATTTCTGATCAGGGCACATGCCCAGGTTACGGGTTCACTTCCTTGTTAGGGCATGTTTGGGAGGAAACTGATAGATCTCTCTCCCTCTTTCTTAATACCTCTCCTCTTCTCTTTCCCTTATCTCTAAGATCAATACATTTAAAAAAATATATTATTTCCCATTCAGACTTGCTCCTTTCAAATGTTTTCCATCTTTATAAATGACACCTTAATTACTGTTATTCTTGCTGAAAGCTGTGGAGTCTTCTCTTTTTCTCTCACATCTAATGTCTAATCCATCAGCAAATTCTTTCACTTTTTGCAAAATATCCAGAATTTAAACATTTCTAACATTCCACAGCTACGACTATGGTTAGTTTCACCATCTTTCACTTAAACAAATGCAATATAACTGGTCTCGGTGCCCTGCTTCCTATGTTTCAATTTTCTGCATAGCAAAGTAACTCTTTCCCCCCCCATCATATATTTTTACTAGTGGCCCAGTACATGAAATTCATGCATGGAGGGAGGGAGGGTGTTCCTCAGCCTGGCCTGCACCCTCTTCAATCTGGGACCTCTCAAAGAATGTCCTACTGCCAACTTACAAGGATTGGGCTTAAACCAGCAGTCGGACATCTCTCTCACAATCCAGGACTGCTGGCTCCTAACCGTTCACCTGCCTGCCTGATTGCTCCTAACCACTCTTCCTGCCAACTTGCTCGCCCCCAGCTGCCCCCCCCCCCCCGCCAGCCTGATCACTCCCAACTGCCCCGTGCCAGTATGCTTGCCCCCAACTGCCTCCCCTGCCCGCCTGGTCACCCCCCCCAGTCCCCCTTGATGGCCAGCTAGTCCCTTCCTTTCATCCCTACTAGCCTGCTTGCCCACAACTGCCTCCATGCTGGCCTGCTCACTCCAAATTGTGTTGTCTCCCCTACCCCGCCATCTTGTTCACCTCAAACTGACCCCCTTGCTGTTCTTCTTGTCCCTAACTGGCCCCCCTGCTGTTCTGCTTACCCCCAATGGCCCAGCCCCTCACCAGCCTGATCACTCACAATTGCTGTCCCATCCTGGCCTGATTATCCACAACTGCTCTCCCCTCTTGGCCTTTAACTGCCTTTATCTTGGCCCTCCACCATGGCGTTGTCCAAAAGAATTTCGGGGTCTTCCAGTCTAATTAGCATATTAGCCTTTTATTAGTATAGATAGAGGTCTGGTGCATGGGAGGGGGCTGGCTGGTTTGCCCTGAAGGGTGTCCCAGATCAGGGTGGGAGTTCCGTTTGGGGTGCCTGGCCAGCCTGGGCGAGGTGTTGATGGCTGTTTGCAGGTTAGCCAAGCCCCCGAGTGGGGACCCTCCATCCTTGGGGGTGTGGCCAGTCTGGGTGAGGGGCTGAGGGCTGTTTGCAGGCTGGCCATACTCCCTTCAGCATGGGGGACCCTGCTGGGGTGCCTGGCAAGGTTGGGTGAGGAGCTGATGGCTGTTTACAGGTTGGCCACGCACCCTGGCGACCTAAGCTCCCAGCCCCTCCTTTTTTTTGCCTTTTTTTTTTCTAGCACCTCCTGGAATGGAGGCCAGGGCTGGGTGGAAGCAGGTATTTGGGATTTATTTATTTTCTATAATTTAAATTTTATAGCCTTGAGCAGAGGCCAGGGCCAGCCAGGGTGGGTGAGAAGCTTGGCTTCCTCCATCACTGATGACAACCCAAGCCTCCTGCTCACTCTAGCTCTGTGGCCACCACCATCTTGGTTGGGTTATTTTGCATACTCCCTCCTGATTGGCTGGTGGGTGTGCTTTGTAGGCATAGCAGAGGTATGGCCAATTTGCATGTTTCTCTTTTATTAGATAGGATTGATTTCAGAGCGGAAGTGAGATGAGAGAGAATCATTGATAGGCTGCCTCCTGCATGCCCCCCGCCAGGGATCAAGCCTGCAACCCAGGAATGTGCCTTTTATGGAAATTGAACCTGGGACCTTTCAGTCCACAGGCTGACACTTTATTTACTGAGCCAAACCAGCTAGGGCCAAAGTTATTCTTATAGAAGTAAATTAGATCATATTAGTTCTCTATTCAAAGCCCATAAATAGCTTCCCTAGTCCTTTAGGAAAAATGTAAAAATCTTATTTTGCACACATTGGTCCCTAGTAGTTCTTAGATCTCTCTCACTTCCCCTTTGTTCACTCTGCATAGGGCAAGTTAGCCTCCTAGCTACTTCCTGAATATAACAAACACATTACTGTCTCAGCACCTTTTCATTAGCTATTCCCACCACCTGAACACACTTTTCCTAAATGTGCAGCTATCTCTTCTCATTCTTTCAGAATCCACTCAAATGTCATTTATAATCCACTCACTATCTAAACTATCATTCACTCATTCTTTCCTTGCTTTGTTTATCTTAGCATCTATCAATCACTAATGTACATATTATATAACCAACAAACACACTTTTGTTTATTCCCTTATTTGGCTGTTTCTCATGTGTAGAATGCAACAGCTCCCTGGCATAGAGTTTGTTCTCTCCTTAGTTCACTTGCTTTTATTGTTCCAGGATGATTGGTCTACAATGCCTGCTCAATAAATAAGTATGGAATAAAAGATCGTATTGCTCATAGGAAGATTAGCTACCATTTTCCCGAGTAGCCTAATGTAACCACGTTATACTTTTTAAGAATAATATACAAAAAGTGGACATTATTTTAATTAAGCTTAGTGTTTGGATAGTGAATGCATATTTTTATTTACTTAGGGATCTATTAATGTTTTTGATACACTGCATTTTAACCTCAAATAAGCTCCTTCATTTAAAGTCTTCTGCCTAAATCTTATTTATGAATTTATAAATTACTTTAAGATTACTAATTTCCTTTTAGTTTATAAACGTGTGGCAAAAAAATGGCTTTACATAAAAAACTAAATGATATTAGAGCTGAGTGTAGGTGGTAGATGACGAAGGGATAGGGTGGAGGGAAGGAAGAAAAGCCTCTAATTAGGTGGCTGTCCTTTCTCTTAAGACAGCGGTCGGCAAACTCATTAGTCAAGAAAGCCAAATATCAACAGGACAACAACTGAGATTGCTTTTGGGAGCCAAAAACCAACTTCTGCGCATAGGCCACTAAGTTTCAATTGTACTGTACATGGGCATCCGCATGTATTTTGTGGAAGAGCCACACTCAAGAGGCCAAAGAGCAGTATGTGGCTCAAGAGCCGCAGATTGCTGACCACTGCCTTAAGGCAATTTCATAGGTCTCATCATATTAGAAACTTGAGATTTCATTGAAGAGAAGCAAAAAAGGAAAAGTCGATATATGGAAGAGAGAGACAAAAGTTGGGCCACTTTTATCTTCTGGAAGGCCAGTGCTAATAATGCAAAGATTACCTAGCCCAGCCTTCATTGCCCAGGATAGTTATATGCAAACTATCTAGGAAAAATGTATGGCACTATGGTCTTCTTCCCATCTTTCTAATGGTTTCAGGTTGTAGAAACCTAAGGCCATTGGCTGATGGCTGGACATTCATCTCTTCTTTCACACACTTTTCTTTTTTATTTTATTGTTGACACTATTACAGCTATCCCTCATTTCCCCCTACATGCTTATCTTAACAGGAATGATGCAACCCAATTGAGAACACTTATAAATATGTAGCAAATTTCTGAGAATTGTTACATTAATTCCCTGGATAATCAAGAAGTGACATCCCCATTTACAGGGATGAAGAGAAAAATGAGAGCATTTTTAGAAGCTTCTCCCTACCTTCCTC